CTGGGATTAGAGGTGCCTGCCACCCACACCCAGCTAATTTTGTATTTTTAGTAGAGACGGGGTTTCACCATGTTGGCCAGGCTGGTCTTGAACTCCTGACCTCAGGCAATCCACCACACTTCGGGCTCCCAAAGTGGGATTACAGGCATAGCACTGCGCACGGCCTATATATCTGTTTTTTTATAGATGCATATACATCAAGCCGCCCACCCACCAACAGAGGCCCTGCAGAGGCCCACCCACCAACAGAGGCCCTGCAGAGGCCCACCCACCAACAGAGGCCCTGCAGAGGCCCACCCTGCAGCACTCTCCTGGCAGACTGACCTCTGTCCCCCACAATTCTTAAGCTCTACTAGGGTAAGGGCCATGTGTTTTGCTCCCCATTGACTCTCCAAGGCCTAGCACATGGCACAGGGTGGGTGTCCCATCAAGGGTAGCTGACTGAATTAACGCATTCCACATGTACTGAATGTCTAGTAAGGGCAAGATGCTATAAACAAAGGGCGGGGAGAGAAATGGAAACATTTAAAGAATGCCTGCTAGGTGCCAGGCACTGTGCACTGCCCCATTGGAGCCTCAGAATAAGCTTGGCAGGTAGGTTTAGGAGAAACTGAGCATTAGAGAGGTGAAGTCATTTGCCCAAGGTCACCAAGCTAAAAACTGGCAGCACCAGGCTTCCAGACTGACTCTGTTGACTGCACCAGCCCCACTCTTTCCAGTTGCAACCTGTCCTTCTAGAATGATCCCCACATCCAAATGAATCCCCAGGGGAGCCTCCTAGCCTGGGCCGTGCCTAATGGAGGCGGCAGAGGGTGCCCAGCTGATGGACTGTGGGGAGGAGGAGCAGGAGGCTAAAGGCTGGCCCCATTCAATGGTTGTGTGATCTCTAGCAGGTCCTTTCACTTTCAAGGTTCGTCAGCCTTGGCTCGTGAACATGGAGAGTGCCATGCCGACTTCTTTCTCAAATGACAGTCTCCTGGCCAAGTCTAGGAAGGGTCCATTCCAAGGGGCCTGCTGGTCAAGGGGCCACCATGAACACAGTGGGAATGGCCACACAGGCCTGCGTTCCAGTCAAGCTCCACCTTGACCATCACACTACAGAGCTGTGTGACCTTGGGTGAGTCACTTTGCCTCTCTGAGTCCCTTTCCTCCTGTGTAAAGTACTGCCTGTGGTTCTGAGGGTCAAGTGAGAGACAGTGGGACTCAGCCAAGCACCAGGCCCGGCCCACAGCAGGAGCTCAATAAATACCACAAGCTCACATTTGCCAGACATTTGTTGATATGATTCCTGTTCATTTTTTTAGTAACACTAATGATCACGGAGGGGAGGGTCATTTTTAGGAGATCTATGCTGACATAGTGACAGATGAAGCATCACGATGTCTGCATCTCACTTTCAAATCATTTAGCAGAGAGAGAGAGAGAAAGTGTATATATATTACATCTGTAATCCCAGCACTTAGGGAGGCCAAGGCAGGCAGATCACCTGAGTTCAGATGTTCCAGACCAGCCTAGCCAACATGATGAAACTCTACTAAAACTGCAAAAATAAATGAATAAATAAATAAGCCAAGCATGGTAGGGCACACCTGTAATTCCAGCTACTTGGGAGGCTGAGTCACAAGAATCGCTTGAACCCAGGAGGCAGAGGTTGCCATGAGTCAAGATTGCACCACTGCATTCCAGCCTGGGTGACGGAGTGAGACTTTGTCTCTTAACAAGAAAAAAAGTGTATGTATTTATTTATTTGTCCATACATAGATAAAGCAAATTTAGAAAAATGTTAATTATTGGGTCTCAGTGGTGGTGATCATTGTACTATTCAACTTTTCTATATGTTTGAAAGCTTTCATGATCAAACATTAGGGCAAAAAATTTCTGTGGTCCCCCAAATAAAAATAAAAGTCTATTTTCTCTGGTGCTGAGAGGAATTTGTGATTTTTCCTCCTCTCCCTCCTTCTCTCTCTACCTTCCCCCAAAGTCAACCAGACACCCATCTAGGTTGCTAAGCTCCTCCTCCTTCCTGACTGCCCTCTGTCCCCACAGCTCAGGCCCAAACCGTATCCCTCCCCAGGGCCACTGCCCAGCTTCCTCAGGGGCCCCGGAGTTCCCGGACACCCCTCCAGGTGTTCTTCACAATGCAGACAAGCAACCCCCTATAAACAAATCTGACCTCCATCAAGACCTTCCCTAGACCAATTTACTCTTAGGAGACAGAGGAACATGTTAATTGTACCACAGAAATTCAAACAGAAAACCCAGATGATGAAGGACTCTAGAGGTCAAATGGCCAGCTTTCCCCAACAAATACATTTGAGAGAGAGACAGAGCGTGCCAGAGAGCTGGTGGAGGATTGGTGGGTATCTATAGAGTTTTTTGGTTTTTTGGGGTTTTTTTTGAGACAGAGTCTCACTCTGTCACCCAGGCTGGAGTGCAGTGGCACTATCTCAGCTCACTGCAAGCTCTGCCTCCCAGGTTCATGCCATTCTCCTGTCTTAGCCTCCCGAGGAGCTGGGACTACAGGCGCCCGCCACCATGCCTGGCAAGTTTTTTGTATTTTTAGTAGAGATGGAGTTTCACCATGTTAGCCAGGATGGTCTCGATCTCCTGATCTCATGATCCGCCGGCCTCGGCCTCCCTATAGAGTTTTTTTAAGAAGCAACCAATTACAATTATTTGCATCTTGACTTGAATAACAAAATAACTGTAGGCTGGGTGTGGTGGCTCATGCCTGTTATCTTAATACTTTAGAAGGCAGAGGTGGGAGAATCACTTGAAGTTAGGAATTTGAGACCAGCCCGATCAACATAGTGAGACCAACACCACGTCTCTACAAAAACAAAATAATAATAACAAAATAAAATTTAATTAGCCAGGTATGGTGCCACATGCCTGTAGTCCCGGCTACTAGGGAGGCTAAGGTGGAAGGATCGCTTAAGCCCAGAAGTTCAGGGCCACATTGAGCTATGATGGTGCCACTGCATCCCAGCCTGGGCAACAGAGCAATACTCCATCTTGAAAAAATAAATAACTGCAAAGCAAACAAAATAACAACAAATTCATGAGACAGTTTGGGCATTTGAACACTGACTAGTGATGTTGGTGAAAATTATTGTTTATTTTTTAGATGTGGTAATGATGTTAATGTTAAGGTTTTGTTTAAAAAGAATCCTTCTCTCAAAAAAAAAAAAAGAGGGCCAGGTATGGTGGCCCACACCTGTAATCCCATCACTTTGGGAGGCCAAGGTAAGCAGATCACCTGAGGTCAGGAATTCAAGGCCAGCCTGATCAATATGGTGAAACCACATCTCTAATAAAAATACAAAAATTAGCCCAGCTTGGTGGCGGGCACCAGTAATCCCACCTACTCGGTACACTCAGACAGGAGAATTGCTTGAACCTGGGAGGCAGAGGTTGCAGTGAGCCAAAATTGCACCACTGCACTCCAGCCTGGGTGACAGAGCAAGACTCCATCTCAAAAAATAAATAAATAAATAAATATAAAAAGAGTTCTTAGCCCTTAGAGATACATTTGGAAATATTTTTAACTGGCAAAAGCAGAAACAAACAAACAAAAAAACTTCTTAATCTTTCCTCAGGTGTGTCCAGGCCTTCCCTGGCCACCAACCATGCTCCAGGCCCCTCCTCAGCTTGTCCTTCTTCCCGGCATCCTCTCTGGCTTTCCCTTCCACCCACAGCCTCCTCCGCCCAGATTCACCTTCACTCCGCTGTGCCGGGCAGCAGGTCCAGCCATCGTGCATGTATCCCTAGCCCTCTCTATTCCTTGCTCCCCTAAGTAAAAGAACTTGTGCTGGCTACGGGAATCTGGAGCTGGCCCAGACACAGCTCCACTGGCTTCAAAGTATCACTATGTACAGAGCTGACAGTACTGAAGCCAGCTCAAACGCCTCCTCCAGGAAGCCCCCCCTTGACTACCCTCAGTGCCACAACACCTACCCCCAGACATATAGGAAATACAGCCCACTGGTTAAGAGCAAGGGCTCTGGGGCCGTACTGCCTATCCTGGGTCCTCCATTAGATGTACCACCTTCAACAAGGTACTTCGTTTCTCTGTGCCTCAGTTTCCTCATCTGTAAAATGAGGATACTAATAGCTTTGACCACATAGTATTGTTTTGAGGATCAAATAAGTTAATGTATTTTAAAAGGTATCAAAATAATGTATCAGTATTGGTGCACTAATTGTGACAAAGGTACCCTACAAATGTAAGATGTTAATCATGGGGCACCTGGGTGTGGGGTATATGGGAACTCTCTGTACTATCTTTATTTTTATTTTTTTATTTAGCCTGAGATGGGGTCTCACTGTGTCACCCAAGTTGGAGTGCAGTGGTGTGATCTTGGCTCATTGCAACCTCTACATCCCAGGCTCAAGTGATCCTCCCACCTCAGCCTCCCAAGTAGCTGGGACCACAGGCGTATATCACCATGCCCAGCTAATTTTTGGTAGAGACAGGGTTTTGCCATGTTGCCCAGCTGGTCTCAAACTCCTGAGCTCAAGTAATCTGCCTGCTTCAGCCTCCCAAAGTTCTGGGATTACGGGCACAAGCCACTGCACCCGGCCTTGTACTATCTTTAGAGATACAATGTTTTTATGAATTTAGAACTATTCTAAAATAAAAGGTATTACAAAGGAGGCCAGGCAGAGTGGCTCACGCCTGTAATCCCAGCACGTTGGGAGGCCAAGGCAAGCAGATCACTTGAGGTCAGGAGTTCGAGACCAGCTTAGCCAACATGGTGAAACCATGTCTCTCCTAAAAATACAAAACTTAGCTGGGTGTGGTGTCACACACCTGTAATCCCAGCTACTCAAGAGGCTGAGGCAGGAGAATCACTTGAACCCAGGAGGTGGAGGTTGTAGTGAGCCAAGATCACATCATTGCACTCCAGCTTGGGCAACAGAGCAAGACTCTGTCTCAACAACAATGAAAAAAAATTACAAAGCAGAGCCCTTTTTTTTTGAGACAGAGGTTCGCTCGCTCGCCCTCTCGCCCAAGCTGGCAGGCTGGAGTGCAGTGGTGTGACCTCAGCTCACTGCAACCTCCGCCTCCCAGATTCAAGCAATTCTCTGCCTCAGCCTCCCGAGTAGCTGAGATTACAGGTGCCCATCACCAAACCCGGCTAGTTTTTTGTATTTTCAGTAAAGATGGGGTTTCACCATGTTGGCCAGGCTGGTCTTGAACTCCTGACCTCGTGATCCACCTGCCTAGGCTTCCCAAAGTGCTGAGATTACAGGCGTGAGCCACCCCACCTGGCCCAGAGCCCATTATTGCACAGAACTTCTCACTGCGAATTGAATAACGTTCCTACATCTGCCTCCCCTGAAGATTGGGAGTTCCGGGGAAGAGGCTGTGCTCCAGTGGACTTTGCATGCCCAGTCTCAGCAAGGCCCCTGGTCCGGAAAAGGTGCTCATCTAATGTTAAGTGTGTGGTGAGGGAATGACTGACGACTGAATGAGTGAGTACAGAGACTGGCCAGTCTTCTTCCTTAATGGTAACACACTGAGCACCCAGTGAGTCCCAAATAAGCCCTTGGCACTTGATGTCCTAGTAGTGCTAATGAGTTTAGGATCAGGTCCAGAGACAAGAGCTCTGTGTGTGGCCCTGCAGCCTGTCCTGAGCCAAGGGCTCAGCCTGCTCCTTGGATTCCAGAAGCAGGATCTATGGGCAAAGCTATGGGGAGGCAAAGCCCAGTGTGTGTGATGAATATTCTTCTATTCTGTACAGCCATAAAAAAAAAAAGAAAAGAAAAGGCCAGGTGCGGTGGCTCATGCCTGTAATCCCAGTGCTTTGGGAGGCCAGGGCGAGTGGATCACCTAAGGTCAGGAGATCGAGACCAGCCTGGCCAACATGGTGAAACCCCGACTCTACTAAAAATACAAAAAAATTAGCCAGGCCTCGTGGCAGGCACCTGTAATCCCAGCTACTCATGAGGCTGAGGCACAAGAATTGCTTAAACCTGGGAGGCAGAGATTGTAGTGAACCAAGATCATGTCATTGCCTTCCAGCCTGGGTGACAGAGGGAGACTCCTTCTCCAAAAAAATGAAAGAAAAAAGGCTACTTTGTTATTGAGGTACTGAGCTCCTCATCCCTGGAAGTATGTGAGCAGAGGTTGATGGCCCAAGCTTCTGGCTCAGACTTGGCCAACGCACCTTGTCTAGGGGCCTCCCTATAGCCCAATGACCAAGGACCCAAAGAGAATGCCCAAGCTCAAAAAGGCATTCACTGATTAAGTCTAACCCCTTCCATTTTGCAGATGAGAAAACTGAGGCCCAGAGAGGGAGATTGACTTCCCCAAAGTCACGCAGCACCCCACAGTGCTATCTCGGCCACACCCTGGCTGAGGGAACACCCACCCACCCACCGCACTGAACAGCCGGTCAACTCCTAGCCCCCAGAAACATTGCAGAGGTGTTCATGCTTCCCCAGAGGCTGCCCCCATCTCATTTTCAGTCAGTTGAGTCAGGCTCCAGGCAGCACACAGGCTGACCAGGCAGGGAGTGAGGAGCACGGGCCCCAGGCTGATGGGAGAGAGACCAGAGGACCCTAACGCAGAGGGGCTACTTACCTAATGGTGTGCTCAAAATAGATGTCATCCATGGAAGCTGTGACACAGGGGCAGCCAGCGTGCCTCTCCGCTGGTGTCAGGAGAAGAAAGCCAGACATTAGTAGCCTCCCCCCACTACAGGCTTCTGCTCAGATGGTACCTCCTCAAGAGGCTTCTCCAGCCGCCCAAGTCAAGGCCACAACTCCCACCACATCCTGCCACCACCCTTCCTTACGCTCCCTCACCATGGACACCACCCTTGACCCTTTTCTGTATATCTGCTTTTCATGTCTGTTTTCTCTTCCTCCCACTAGAGTGTAAATTACTTGAGGACGAGGATTTTTGCCTGTCTTGTTCATTGCAGTACCCCAGTCCTGGAACAGTGTCTGGCACATAGTATACACTCAGTAAGTAGCTGTTGAATGAGTGATCATGCCACACTGGCCTGCTTCTCAGCCTTCTGGAGCCCCCATCCCTTCAACCACCTGTTCCCTGCCTGAGTCATTCTCACCCTCAGGACTCTACTCAGGTGCCTTAGCCCTTCAGGAATTCCTCCCCTGCCCCCAGGCCTGGGTCAGGGCCTCTGAAACAGTGCTGGGGGACAGTCAGGTCACGTGCCTGTCCCCCACCCCCACCCCACCAGGCTGTGAGCTCTGTGGGTTGGAGAACACCGGTGCAACAAAAGGAATGAAATGAAATGGGCTCGGTCCGGTGCACCTCAACTCAAGGGAAGGAGCGCCGCAAGGCAGGCAGTCATGGGCTTTGCTCAACAGCATCTCCGAGCCAATCTGAAGCAGCCATGTGAAAGGCTGCACTGTGTTGAGGCAGGGACTTAGGGCCTGGGACCAACACTCAGGGCTGAGGGGGTCTGACTAAGAGAGAGTTGGGCTGTGCTGAGCATCGAGACGTCGGAAAGGGCATTTCAGACAGATGGACCAGCATGAGCAAAGGCCAAGATGAGAAACAAGTGTGGCACTTAGGTGGACAGTGACCATCTCTGAAAGCACAGCCCCTGCTATGGGCCTGAGGGGCAGGTGGGGAGCCATGGGGAGCGCAGCCTCACCGGACAGGCAGGCTGTGGTGTCAATCCACTTGAGCAGCTGCCCGACACTCAGCTCGCCGCGTTGGTTGGTGTGGCAGGGCAGTACCAGCTGGCTCATCTGCACTTCCGTGGGGTTCCGGTATCCTTCGCCGTCTGCCATGGCACTGTCGTTCCCTGCACGTGAGGCTGACTTCCGGGATGTGCGACTGGAGAACACAGAGGCCAACCCCTGGGGGACAGATGGGGACAGAGAGGTCTGCTTGCTGCAGGGTCTCCCAGGTCTGTCCAGCCCTGAGAACTCAGGGTCTGGGGGAAAGAGAGTACCTAGAGCCACCTCCCACCAGACCCCAACGAGAGAGTGGTCACCACCCTGCAGCCCATGGTCTTGGATCCCAGGGAATCTGTGGATGCTGCTTCTGCCAAGTTTCCTTTTGGCCAAGAACTGCACATGAACATGGCCTTGCACCCGAGTGGGGCAGTGGAGAAAAACCATGCAGAGAAGTCAGTCTTCGTTTCAGCTCCTGGGCCAACTTTTTAAAGTGTTGCCTTAGATTTACCTTCGTTCTGGAAAGAGTCCCCTCTCGGTGCAGGGAGGCCTAGAGAGCTCCTTAGCGGTCAAGCCCAGGGAACTGTTTCTAATACAGTGTTTCAAGAAGCTGCTCTGATTTCATCCCCAAAGGGCTCCTTTCTTGGGCTCCCTCCATCTTCAGAGGCCATCAGGACAGCCTCTGTGGCCTGCTAATGTCTAGCACTTGGATCTATTGACGGGGAGGGCCGTGGGCAGTCACTGACCAGCTGTCTGATCCAGGGCTGGGTACAGCAGCTGCCAGCTGGAAAACTGGCTGAGAAAATTCTCCAACTCATGAATTAGAGCCGGGGTTTCTGCTTGGAGCCAGCATGTCTTACTCTGCAGGCAGAAGAGGTAGGGTGTGCCCATCAGTCCTTTGGAAGGGAGGAAGAGGGAAGGGGCTAGCAGCCTGCCATCCCTAAGTAGACCATGAACTCAAGAGCTGGGCACACCCGCATGTGTGAGAAAAATGAGGAGGGACAGGCATATGGGTTCCGATTCTCATGGCCAATGCCAATTGTGTGGTGGTGATGACAGTTGCCACTAATGTTTATATAGCACTTAGGTGTCACATATTTTTACAAGCACTATATGTGTACTAATCCAATTTTATCCTCACAACAAACCTATCAGACAGATGCATTATTATCCTCATCCTACAGATGAGGAGCCCAAGTAAGTGACAAAGCTCAGCTGTGACCCCAGAGGTCTGCTGCAGTCTGAACTCCTACCCCCAACACTACACTGCTTGCAGGGCCTCCTGGGGCTGAGATGAGGAGTCCAGGGCCTGGGCTTGACTGTACTGGCAAAGAGCACCATGGCCCAATGGCGAGCCTGCCACGGCTGCAGGATGATGGCCATGGCAGCTCTTGCACCTGGTCTATACTCCTTAGACAATTCCCACCAATGAGCCTCCCGTAGCTAATTCAATCAATTCCAAATGCACCGAGGTAGCTTGTTCAAGGTCACTGACCCCTACGTGGTAGAACCAGGATTTGAACCAGGCCTGTCTGACCCAGAACGGCTTATGGGTTCCCAGAAACACTGTTTATTCCCAAGAGCCCCTGGGCAGGAGGCTGGGCACCAAGGGGAGACAGGAGGGCAGCCATCCCAGGAGCTCTCAGCCTGGGTGGAGGCCTACAGGGTGCCAGGCTGCCTGGCTTGCAGGCCCTCACAGGTAGCTGGAAGGCTGATGTGGTTCAAGCAGCAGGACTCGTCGCCATGGTAACCACTGCCAAGGCACTTCCTGCTTGGTGGTGCACTGGGGGCCTGCATGGATATGGGTGGCTGGCTTTCCGGGTGTGGGAGCGGGTAGAGGGAGGAGGTAGGCAAGACTCCATTTGCCCACACTCTTCCCAAACCCCTCCCACAGTCAGAGGTACTGGGAAGAAATTCCAGAAAGAAGCCCTAGAGAGAGCTGAGGAAATGGGGAGACAATGCCCACTTGCAGAGGGCACCTAAGCAGACCAAAAGGGGCAGACTGCCTGGGGCAGACCACCTGGGGTAGACCACCTGGGGCAGACCGCCTGGGGTAGACCGCCTGGGGTTTCTGGGCAGTCTGGACACACACACAGGGACGCCCACACACAATGTCCCCGCTTTACCAGCCTGGGCATGTCCACCTTTCTGAGTCCTCACAAGGATGAGAATGAGAACTACTGACCCATTTCACCAACAAGGGAACATGGACACAGCCCTGGACCAGCAGTCATGATGCCTGAGCTCTGGTCCTCTCTCTGCTTCTCACTTGGTCGACCCCTCCTCCCATGCGCTCCTGTTTCCTGTTCTGTGAATCAGGAGTCCTTACCTTTCTGTTGGACCCTATGCCATAGGAGCCAAGATCTGTGCCCTGCTCACTGGTTCATTCATTCACTTATTCATTCACCAAACACTTCCTCCATACGGGGCCCTGGGCCAAACATGGAGAATACAACGACAAATTGGGCCTAGAGGGGCCTGGCACACAGGAGGACATTGTCAAAGGTTTGTGGAGGGACAGCCAGAGACGGACTTGAGTTCAAATTCTAGCTGTGTCCCTCAGGTGCTGTGTGATCCTGAGCAGGGTCTCTCCTTTCCCAAGCTACATCTGTCACTCACCAGGTAGGACAGAGAATTGCTAGTCCCTAAGGTAGCCCTGGTTCCAGGAGTCTGGGACCTAGCTCAGCCTGGAATTTGCACACCCAGCTGAGATTCTCAGTGAGGAAGCTCTAGAACCCTGTCAGAATGGAAATACTGTGTGCGCCTCTGAGCAGGGCCCCTGAAGCACACTGAGAGACAAGCCTCGCAGTTGTTGTCCCCACCACTCCCCTCAAAGAGAGGGGTGCAGAAGCCCTGGGCTGGAGCACAGGCGGCAGAGACAGGGCAGCAGGTGGCCCCAGGCATAGCCTTTCAGACTCCACTCCTTCCTTGGGCTCCAAGGCAGTCTGCCCACATTAGGGCAGGCCAGGCCAGGCCTCTTAGTCCCAAGGTGGGCAGGCAGCCAGCCTGGGAGGCAGGGATGTGTGCAGCCCAGGCAAGGTTTGGCCAATGGGGCTCCAGAGCTGCGCCACTCCTCCCAGGGCCAGTCACAGGGAGAGCAGAGGCCCTGGATGGAGTCATGGCCTGGGCGGACAGGCAGGCTGAGCCAAGAGAGCTGCCAGGGTGGCGGGGGCTGAACTACTGCAAGGGTAGGAGGGCACCCAGAGGTCGGAGACACGCCCTCTCAGACAGCAGCTGTGCCAAGTGCTGGCCGCAGGCCCTGGCAGACCTGGCCAGAGTTGATCATGCTAGACTAGGCCCCAGCTAGCCACACCATGGGCTCTGTGTCCCTCCTCCTGAGCCAGAGTCATGTCACAGACCTGCGGGGTCAGGGCAGGAGAGATCCCCTCACCCAATCCCTTCACAGCCTGGGGGACTAAGGCACAGAGGGAAAAGCTGCCCCAGGGCCACCCAGCTGTGGGGGGGCCAAGATAAGGCCCCCTGGGTCATGGCTCCTTCTAGGCAAGTTGACAACAGGCCCGCAGGCTACTGGGGCTGGAAACAGGCCCAAGGCTTCACCTTGGTATCCTCCCTCTGCCCAGTATCCAAGTCCCAGTGATCCGACCTCAAAGAGGCCTCTGGTCTAACTCCTTCCAGCCTCCACACGGCACCAGAGGGATCCTTCCAAAAAGCAAATCCAACTCAACAACTACTGCTTACTACGTCCTGCCTTTCAGGGAGACCTGGTCCTCATAACTCCACCCCATGGGACTTTGCTCTGCCCCTTAGGAGCACACAGACCTTTCTAAAGAGCAAGCCTCACCAGGTACTTCCCCTGCTCAAGACTCTTTGATGGCTCCCCACTGCTCTCAGGATCAAGAACCAGCCACTGTAGCTCCTGGCACTCACCCTAGCAGCCACTCTCTCAGCTCCAGACCATATGCATTTCCTTAGAGCACCACTCTCACTCCCGCTGTCTTCCCCCACCACGAAGGTGCCGCTTCCACCTAGAATCCCTTTATCTTCCCCGTCTGCTAAGTGAGCCCTTCCTCATCCTGCGTCTCTCTTCCCCAGGGAGAGTTACAATGCCCCTGCAGCCTCACCATCTCCATCACGGCACTGACCAAGCTGGGTAGTCACTGTCCTCATAGTTGCCACCCCCATCAGACAGATGCTTCCACAGGACAGGGACACAGGCCTGGCACAGAGTCAGAGCTAAATAAATGCCCATGGAAGAGAGAAAGGAAAAGACTAATGGCCTGAGAGCTGAGACTCGCAGTGGGAGGAAAGTCTGAGGTGCAGAGAGGCCATAAGGAACAGCAAAAAGGAGAAACAGAACGGCTGTGGTTCAGGTGATGGGAATGTCAGGGTAAAGGGTTCAGGTGATGTGAACACTGGGGCAAATGAGAGCAGGTGGGAAAATGCTCCACATACCCGGATGGGCGGAGACAGAGGGAGAGGGGCTTGGGGGCCAGGCCAAGAGGTCCCCAGAAACCATGGAAGACTGCTGGAGAAGGCATGGACTACAGTGATAAGCCTGATAAGCCGGCTGCGATCACAGTGCCTGCAGGCTCCATCTGGAGCAACAGGCCTGGTGCAAAGGAGACCTACCTGCCCTGAAGGGGAGGAGCAGGCCTGGGTGACCTCTGGAGTAACCCACCATGACACAGGCTATGCACAGGCCTTGGGCATCAGCCTAGCTTGGGTTCAAGTCCAGTTCCACAACTAACTTGGATAACCTTGAGCAAGCTGCTCCACCTCTATGGGCCTCGGTCTCCTGTCTGTAAAAATTGGATTATTATACTCACTTCCAAGAATCATCATAGAGAGGAAATTAAACAACACCAAGTATATGAAGCTCCTAGCACACATATACCCTGTGGTTAACATGTATTGAGTGCTTACAATTAGCATTACAAAACTGAGTCTGTGCTTCCTACAGACACACAGCTGGGAGGGACCCAAACATAGTTCAAAGTAGACTGTTGCCACAGTGCTTTCTACCCATGAGCTCACCAGAGCCTCACAGCAACCCTGTGCAGGGCAAAATTACGAGCTTGTTTGAGAGGTTCTGTGAGAATTCAAAAAGCCGGTGATTATGGAGCAGGGCTTCAAACCCAGGGTGCAAAACTGCAAAGCCCCTGTTCCTCCCACTCTCCCGCCCCTGCCTCTCACAAGGTACTAGAAGGCGGGCCCCAGGGGCG